TGAGTTTAACATGTTCCAGGCAGCTTAGGGAAAAAAAATAAAACTAATTTGACTGCAGCTAAAGGAAGACATTTGACATTTCCCAGAGTTACACAGAAAAGTTGTATTTTATTATCTACAATTAAAAAAAAATTAGCTTCAGAAGTAGCATATCAGAATACTTTGTAGAATAAACAGATAAAATTCAAATTTATTAGGACATGATATAAATGACCATAAGAACTTTTGATGTATGGTTTTAATCTCCTTTTTTTGCCTTAGGAAAATAATGGATAGGAAAAGTCATTGTTAGAAACTTTTCAAGGCAAGCAAAATAATTTCTTTACTACCTTATAACTATTTTCTAGAAAGAAATGTTTATCTTTCATGATCCTCAAATACATATAATCTGACCTTTGTAATTTTTTTGTTACTATTGTCAGAGTGAAATATTGAAATTTTTCTCAGTATTTGAAAATAGAAATTGAATTGACATTATGTTCTAAAACCATATCTCAGGTTTTCCAAATATAAAACAAAGGTGAGAAGAAAGAAAAAAGTAAACTTTGTGCAAAGTTGATGGTTAAAGCCATATATAATTTTAAAAGAAAACTTTTGCTTTTTCTAGTATAGAGTACTTAATGCAAGTAACATTTCCTACTGAGTTGATGGTATTAGCCCAAATACTCTAATGTCTGTTTAATTTTGGGCAGCATCTGCCTTTCTTCAAACCATTCTTTCCAGTGCCTCTCTTTAAATCCTTATATAGCCTTTTGGATTTTGTTTGTTTCAGGACAAATGGGGACATAGAGTGTACGTGAATGAGCATTCATTCAGCAACCGAATTCCATTGGAAACCACTGCTTTTTTAATGCAAGTGTGTGTTTTATGCATATTCTTTGGCCATATGGTTAGAACTGATGTTTCTTGCAACTTCAGGCACTTGGGAAATTTTAAGCAGAGATGTGACACAAATGACACAGCTAGCCAATTATGTAACATGGTGAAAAATCCACCCAGAGATTGCATTTTAAAAACTTTGCTTTTTGTTTGTCACAGCTGTTTCTCTACTTAAGGAAAAGTCACATGCTGCAGAATTAGATCAGTGGTGTTGTAAGTCTTCTGTAGCCAGCAGTTAGGCAGGAGGCAGGGTGGCAGAATGGTTCGGAGACTTCCTTTCCTCCTCTCTGGGCTGAGCACATCACCTGTCTTGAGGACCTTGCTTCCTTCTGAAACAGATTGCCAAGCCCCCTCCAAGTTCTTGGTCTTGGGCTGTCCAGGGGAGACTGCCTTTCTATTGTGCCTCCGTGGTTTAGAGAGAAGCACAGTGCTTTTCTGGAATCTTCTCACCCAGGCCTAGCCCCAGGACCACACTCACTCTTCCTGCAGCATCCCCAGGAGCTCCCTAGTCACGCACAGTCTTTCTCCAGTGAAACCATTTCACCACCTGTGAAATGCAGAGGTGGTTTTACAAGACTATAATTCAGTTTTTTAGTACAATGGCTTTTTAAAGTAAGGTAAAGCTGTACTAAGTGAAGATCTGGGCACCTGTACCTCTCACCTGTGGAGCTCGTCCCTTTCTTTAATTAGCTCTGTGGACTTTTGAAAGTGCCTCCAGTCTTGTTCCCATTTTAACAAGCTAGGTGGACCTTGTAATTACTCATCAGCTGTCAGTGGAGAAAGTGATTTTTCCTAGGAAGTCCTCTGACAATTGTGCGGGAGCTGGGCTTTGTGAAAGGAACCGTTCCCCGCAGGAATACTCCAGTGGGGTCAAGTCCCCAGGGAAAGCTCTCCAGCGCTGACACGTTACAAAAAATTAAATAAGCATTTTGTTTGAGCAACTATAAATATTGCTCACTTAAGAAAGCAAACAAGAAGTAAGAGAGGCATCTTTCCTAGGATTGTAGAAGAGTCTTGGTTGACATTTTGAACTTCTTTAGGGAAACTTCCGGTCATTTCACAGCCTTTTGAGAGACTTCGTAAGCGTTCTTCGGTGGGTGTTAAAACTCAAGTTGCTAGTTTAAGAGCAATAAGAAGCAGCTGTACCTTGCAGAGGGCTGAGCCTCTGTGCGCTGTGAGAAGAGAGCTCCTTCCTCCATCCGAGTCCCTGAAACCTGGGGCCTGACAAGACTCCAGCCTGGGCAGTCCTTGTGTGGCCGTCTCCCTCCTCTTCAGCTTGTAGGTGAGGGAAGCGAAGGCCCATGCACAGGCAGACCCCTGGTCTCCCCCTCCCTCCCGTCCAGTCCAGACATGTGGCACTCGGTGCTTTTGAGGCCCTCTTCAGTGTCCTCTCCTAGGCTCTGCTAGAGCCACCGCTCCTGCTCCTGAGCGTGTGTCTTCCTGACCTGAACGCCACCTAAGCTGCCCTCTGGAGCATTCTGTGGCCCTGCAGTTCTGGTGCCAGCTCTGTTGTCCCTGCTGAATAGTCACATGGCGTTGCCAACCATGAATTTTATGAAAACCATGATTTTCAGCCTCTTGCGTATTTGCAGGATCTTGTTTGGCCATTTTCAAGGTGATGTACCCTTCATCCCTGTGGGTGGTTCTGCCTGGGCACCACAGTCCCCCCGTGGTGGTGAGGTGGCCAGGGATGCTGCTCAGCAGATGTCACGTGAGTGCACATGTGGCACAATGCTGATGAGGCCCGTGTCCTCTCATCTTTCTCTATAAAAGGAGCTTTGCCCCTTCCAGGGATTATCCCTGTCATCAGCATAATAGGAGGCTGGGTGGTGAGGTCCTAGTGGCCTCTGGAGAGCTAGCTTGGCCATTGGCTCCAGAGGCCCTGCTTTTTTCCTCTGGGGTTGGGGACTTCCTCGTGGTAATAGAAGACTCCTAGGACACTGGCGAGTGGGGCTCATGACGGTAATCTCGTTGTCTGAGGCTCTTGAACCACACTGTTATCCTGTGGGCCGGGGAGACAGCAGTTGGAAGTGCAGGGAAGTGCTTCATTTGGAAGAGGGATTGAGGCTTGTGCACGTTTGCCGTCCCATAGGCTCCTTCCCCATCACCAAGGCCAAGCTGCCTCTTCCAAGTTTTATCTGAACCACCCCCTTCGTAATTCTTGTTGCTCTTAAGATTTGTTGAAATACTTGATTGTCTTAAAGGTTGTGTTTGATATTCACTCCAACACAACTTCACTCATAAAAAAAATATGCAGGAGAGTTCTTTATTGTTTGGTTTTGTTTTTTAGTGTATTTTAGGGCAACCGGGATGGGTTGCAGGAGCTTTTGGTCAAAGCCCTAGCCTCCTGTGCCCCTTGGGCTTTCTGCCCCAGCCCCCTCCTCCATACCCTGGGAAACTGGAAGGGTCTCAGCAGGGAGGCCAGGTCCGTAGCTGAGGGCAGTGGCTGGAAAAGAGTCCTCACTCACTATCAGTCACTGCACACAGGTCCCTGAGCCCTCTGGCAAACAGTATCAGATAGTCACCTACAAATAGTTCCCTGCCCATGGAGAGCCCAGGCCTCTGTCTGTGTGTGTGCTCCTATCGTTCTTATCTCCAGATGAAATGGAACAGCCCAAAAATGTGGCCGCAGCTGTCCATATGCTCTCTAGCAAGAGCAGAGAAGCAGTGTGTGTGTTCAGGGCTCTCTATTCTCACATTGTTGTTAATTTCCTGAAACCTTCATGCTAGACGAGGCTTAATTGCACATTTCCTTAAGAATCATCAACAGACACTCATCCTGAGTCGCAAGCAACTCACCCTGGGAAATGTGCAAACATCCCAGGTTTCCTTCTAGAAGAATAATACACTACAGCAAAACCCCATAGTCACCCGTCTTTTTGACATGCAGAGCCATGAAAGCTCTGGAACTTTCCTCTTGGGCTACCTGATTTTCTGAAGGAGATAAATGCTACAGTTTGGTTTAAAGTCTTGATAAGTATCCTCTCAGAAACGGTGTGGCCTTTGCTACGAGGACTCCATTCTGAAGGGAGTGCAAGCTGGGAGGTGCTCTGTGGCATGTTGGGATACTGGCACTGTGCGGTGGCAAGGGGAGCTGGACTCTCCTCATTGTTCCCACGTAGTGCAGCTGTGTTTGTGTTTCCTAAATGATAACTGCCTGTGTGTGGTGACAAGTCCCTGCAGATGGGGGTAGGAATTTCTCTTTAAAAACCATCTGACTGGTGTGTATCAGTTTGGGAGGGTCTGTTTATCAAGTAGCAACAGCAGAAATAAATCCAGGCACCATGGTTCAATACAGATGGTTTGCTAGAGCAGACATTTGACCACCTTGGGGTGGGGGGAAGCCATTGTCACTTTAAATGCTGTGTCTCACAATGGAACACACTTGGGAATGGTAGACTTTTATTCTTTTTTCTTTTTCTTGGATAGTTACATTACCATTGTTTTGGCTGATTTGACTTCTTGGTTTATTCAAAATGTATGCTTAGGTTGTAAATGTAGTCCCATAAATTTGCTCTCTCTCAAAAACAAAAATAAACACAAGGTCTGGGCTGCAACAGAGACAGTTGCCTGTGGCAGAGAAAAACGTGTATAATAAGTAAATACCTGGGCATCACGTGGGCCGTTGAGTTGGACACAAAGACCCGGAGACTAGTTTGGGAGGCACTTCCTTTAGTGTCCCGTCCCTTATAACTCAAATTAATGTTCATTACTGCCCTTTCCTATTGCCAAAATATTTTCATGACTTTGGATTAGAAGCAGCTTGTTCTGGCTTGTTTTGTGACTTTATTTCAAGGAGCAAAGTGATATTTACAAGACTTTGTGTGTCTTAGAAGCTTTAATTATCTTATGCCAAAGGAGGAAATACAATCAAGTTCTCTTTTGTAGCTATGTAAGAAAATAAGAGTTCATACTATGCTAATGTTAAATCACCACTCAGTGCATGTTTTTCAAGAAATTTGAGTCAGTGATGGGAACAGTGTGAGGCTGAATATCTGCCCGTCTGCTGTCTAATGCAGCTGGACATGACTGTGACCAGGACCACTTGGGCTGGATTTATTCTTGGATTTTCAAGTTTTTGTCTTCATCTTTCCATTTTTTCTCTCCCCTTCTTTCCACAGATTGGTGAACGACAGCAAGTGTTAGTAACAGAAGAATCTTTTGATTCCAAGTTCTATGTTGCACACAATCGCTTCTATGAGCAGGTAAGAGGCACTTCAATAGATTCTTGAGTTTTCTGCAAAATCAGAAAGGGTTTTGGAAGTTTAAGTGAAGGGGATTCAGAAGGGGAAAGTGTCGAATCTTGCCACAGTGAGGCTGTTCTGCAGCATCAATCCAGCCAAGTTCCTGTGGGGTCTACCTTGGTGGCTTGTTCTCCAGTAAGATTGATACAAAGGAGTAAGTGTCGTTAGTGTGCTGCAGTCCTCCTTAATCTTTGGCAGGACAGCCCTCGGCTTTGGGGAGTTTGGAACCAGGCGGTTAGCATTTTCCAAATCCCCACAGCCTGGCAAAGCTGGGGAGGAGAGACCTGCTCAGAGACAGGAAGGATGTCTGCGTGGGCGCCATCGGCGTGAAAGGGCAGGGCTTCCTCTCACTGTCGGTCATGGACAGTGTCTTTGTTTGGTCAGTGGGCTGGCTTGCAGTTTTGTTTAGTTCTAGCATTTGTTGTCTTAACTTCTGCCTTGATACAAATGCTGGGAGCAGAGGAGAAGGGCCCATTCCTGACTCAAGTTAGAACGACTCCGTGTGAACGACTGCGAAGACCCACGTGAGGATCCTCCAGCCTCCTTGCCCTGCCCACCCCACCAGGAGCCTGACTTCCATGTCAGCCCTCACGGGTCCACCTCCCCGGGTGGGAAAGCAATCCATAAGCACCTGAAGGAGACAGGCCTCCCTCAGGGCCCAACAGGCAGAGGCCATCAAGGAGGTGGGATGCCCCTCCCTGGCGGGGCGCCTTTTGTGAGGGTCAGAGACACTCATGGATCATTCTGGATCCTAGTTACTTTTGTCAGAGTCACCAGGGGTTTCCTGCTTTTTTGCTCTTCCTCGTCAGATGAGAAGTGTTTTCTCCTGTGGGTCCTGGCTGGAATTGGAGCCTGGAGGCTCTTGAGGTCAGCATGGGCAGTCAGATAAGGGCTGGGCAGGGGTGGCCATTGCCTGAGATAGCAGGCCGGACGCAGTAGCTGAGGGGGCCTCGGCTTGGTGTCTCACATGCGGTGATCTCAGACTGGCCGTGGGTCTGTGGTAACCCTGGGGACATCTTCCCCAAGGCCAGCCCCCAGTGGACAGCAGTGAGTCCACCTTGAGCCTCATTAGGAAATGTCTCCCAGAGAGCGCCTTCACGTTCGTGCCTGCCTTCTGCTCAGCCTGGGGAGGGACTTGGTTGTGTTGGGGCTGCTTCTCCACGACCTTCCCTGCCATCTGGGTCTGTGCCTCAGCAGGGGACCCCCCTTCATCTTAAAGGCAGTGGCATGCCTCATTAGCCATCTCCTCCCATTTCAGGCAGTCGGGCTTTTTCCAATGATTAAAACCGGAGGAGAAAAAACCCTGAGCCCTTGGTTCAGATGAAGGCAGCAGATCAAGGGGACTTATTTTCCCCTGGAGTAGTACCAAATCTCACAGGGACAGTTGGCTCTAGAGATTTTCTTATTTTATAAAAACTGATTTAAAAGGACTTTCACATCTTAAAACGGAAGTTCTTTCAGTTCGTTTGCTTGTCATAAGTAATTCACCACCCAGGTGACCTTTTTCGGAGTCTTTGATGAAGCATTATACTCAAGGGTTATGAAAACCAAACTCAGAAAGACAAGATCCAGTTTTGCTTCCCAGAGAAACTGGCCGTGGAACTTCTGGCTCTGGTCTGATTTTTTTTTTTTTTTTTCCTCTACAGCTAAGCCCGAAATGTCATAGAAATTATTTTTCTAAATAAGATGAGTTTCAGAGATGAAGACTGTATCTAAATATCAAAGTATTGCTGGATTACAATCGGCCTAGTTATTTTGGATACTAACTTGAAAAGACTGGCAGGTTGCTCCAGTACTAAAATAGAAGTGTGAGGCGACGTTATGCACACAAACTACCTCTTAGTCCCCAAGGAGGGGGAACGTTTGCTCGAGGTAAACAAGTACTTTTACCAGTAATCTCCTGTGGAAAGAGACCATCTGACAGTTTCCTACAAACCAGCCAAAGTTCCCTTCGGCACCGCGGCTCTACACGGAGCTCAGCTCCCAGGACTGCGTTTCCTCATAGAGCAAAAGAAGGCAGTGGCGGCCATTAGCAGGGACATCATTCAGCACTGAACAGCAGCCCGAGGTGTCACTGAGGAAGTTGCTGTTAACCAACCTTCCTCTCCTGGAACACACACACGTGTACACACACACACACACACACAGCCTTCATTTGAAGTGTCAACTCCAACTGTTACTCTGACAGCTCATTTGGAAGGAACTGAAAGTAGAAGCTTTGACCATAATTGTCTGTTTTCTTCATCACCTGGGACAGCAGAGCAGTGACTCAAAGGCCTGTCCAGGAGTGGCCGGCTGACTGCTGGGGGTGCCCCGGCCTGCCTGCCACACACACGCCTGAGGATGACAGGCTTCTGGCCTAGAGAGCACTGCCTGCTGCCCGGGGGCTCCTCCCAGAAAGGCCTCCCACCCTACAGAATCACATCCGGGGCATCTGCAAGTGAGGGCCCACCTTGGATGGGACCCCAGGGTAGAAAGAGGACATGAGGGGCCAACTAAAAAACAAACAAACAAAAAAAAAACCGATCAATTAAGGACTTTAGTTAGTAGCACTCTGTCAATTTTGATTCGTTCATTATGACAAATGTGCCATATTAATGTAAGAAATTAATAATAATATGGGAAACTAGGTGTGGGGCATACAAGAACTCTGTGCTCTTTCTATAGATCTAAAACTGTTCTAAAAGTTTATTTTAAAAATTAATCTTTCTTACAACTATTTTTTAAAGGTTTTAGTGCCAAAGAACCCTCCATTCATGGGAAAGATGGTTGAAGTGGATATTTATGAATCAGGAAAGCATTTTATGAAAGGACAGCCAGTATCGGATGCCAAAGTGTTCACGCCATCCATCAGCAAACCGCTAGCAAAAGGAGAGGTCTCGGGCTTAGCACAGGTAAGTAAAGGTGCTTTCTTCCCCCTGGCAAGGGAACGGTGGCCTGTAGCATGGGACTCCAGACCAGGCTCCCGTTGTCATCATGGAGTCCCTTTTTATATAGCACGAGGCTTTGTCCCTTCAGACAGATTGGAACCTGCATTAGAAAGGGGTGTTTCTGCAGATGCCCACGGCTTTGTTTCCCTGCCTGCAAAGGGAATGAACTGTCTCTGCTCCCACAAGCACAGGGTGACAGGCACCGTATCTGCAGGTAAAAGATGTAACCACCAGGGATGATCCGTTCCAATTGTTTCTATATCTGTAGATCCTGAGTTGAAGGGGATGAGGAAAAGAATGTTCTCTTGAATGTTCTCCTGTCTAGGAGCCATTTATGGTGCAGCAGGAGCCTGCGCTAGCGCAGCCCTGACCAGGCTGAGCCACATGGTGCCTTTTGCTTGGGTGGAGCCAGGGAACCACTAACGTCCTGGAGAGTGAAACTCAACGTGTTCTTTTCTTTCTATGAAAAAGAAACCTGACCCTTATTTTATACCTTGGTAAATGTGGCTGTTTGCCACGTCCTCTCTCACATCTCATTGAGCTGCAGTTGTAAAAGCTGATGGAGTGTGAAATGAAAATGTGTATCGCATTTCTAAGCATCATTTGATGTCCCTTCTCCAACACAATTGTTAAGTGCTCCAAAAAAAAGTCCAGAGCAATGCCTTAACACACAGAAAAACATTTACCTGGCCAGGTGATTCCAAAATTGCTTTAATCTCTGTAAAGCTTTCCCTTCAAATGAATTGAAAGAATATATTAATTAAAATGAAGAAAAAGTAGCTTTGCTTGGGCAATAGTGAGTGACACAGAGGGTAGGATCATCTGTGCTCTCGCTGATGTGCTGCAGAGGTCTCATGTCTAGCAGGAGTGGAGTTTGGGCATGACAGGTATAGGAGAAGGAACCGTATGCATGGCCCTGTGACCCCAGTGGAATAGCATGGACTATCTGTCATCGAGATCCTGACGGGTGTCATCCTGCAAAAACCTGATGAATATAACCTTTCACCTTGCTGTTGTTTCATTTAAAAAAAAAAAAAAATCTTATTTACAGGCTAGGATGGATGTCCTGCGAGGAACAGTAATCTAGCATTTAAATTGTATTGCTAGAAACTTGGCTTTTTGTATATTAGCCTATCCTTTTGAAATTTTTCAAGGAAGTGGGCTAGTTTTTTATTTCTCATTTTCCTACATAGAGCACTTTTCTAGGTTGATTTCAAGTTGTCTCCATGAGTAGGACTTCACAACAAATGGCAAATTATCATCTCAAAGACGTTGCCAGGTTTAATCCCTTCTATGTGCCTGTGGAAGGGTGGCATTCTAAAAGATTGTGGTGATCACAAACAGGGAAGACTAGCACCCTTCTCACCCCTCCCCAACTACAGCTAAGGCCGACCTCACTTATATTCTGGGGGCCAGATTTTCCGCCCCACCCTACCACCAGCCTTTCTCAGCATATGGCCCCAGGGTCCTAGGTAATACGGGGAGGAAGGTCCGGTGGCTGATGTCCCACCTGGACTTCTAGAAATAGACTCTTATCTCTTGTATGGAGCCATAGAATCAGGAACATTGTGGGATGTGCATTCAGGGAAATGCCAGGCAAGTCTTTATCACCATGTGACTTCCTATAGATAAATGGACATTGTTCTCACTCTGCATTATTACTGTCAGTTTTTAAAGATATGCCAAACTTTCTGGATCAAAAGGGGCTCTTAGCGAATTGCTCCTAGTATTACATGTGTTTCTGCTGATAAGAGAACCGAAACAAATGAACGAGGAAGAGACAACCTTCTCTTTTCATAGGGTTTAACGGGGTTGATAGATGTCATAATCGTGTCTACGCATTTTGAGCTCTTTGACAGTGGGTAAAGGTGCAGGAACTCTTGAGCGGGGACATCAGCCTAACTCAGAGCAGATGCAATGTGGCCTTGGGGTCTAGGACCTCAGCTTGTACCTGGACTCGCCAATTTACCCCTGCCCAGAGCTCCTCAGGGCTTCCGTTTCTCCTGTTACTTGGGAACAGTCGCGTCGGTCTTGGTGTTGATGTAAGAGTGTATGTTTAGCAGTGTGTGTGAGACACCCACTGCTGTCCCTGTACACAGCATGTAAAGGTCTCTCCCTTCTTTCCAGTTTATTGGTCCTTAAAAAATGAGCAGACTGAAGACTCCCTCAGTATTAGCATTTTCTATTTCTGTTAATTATTTGAGCCACGATCATGCAGTGCGAGCTGTCTTTGGCAGGAGTAGAGGGGTTTCTCTGTTAGGATGCTGTGCTCAGTGCCAGGGAACCAGTCCCAGCAGAATTTCTTCTGTGCCCTGCCACCGAGCTGCATCCCTGGCTGTGTTCATTTTATTTGGAGACAGGCTCTTGCTAAGTCATGGGACTTGAACTTGCCATCCTCCTACCTCGGCCTTCCAAGTAACTGGGATTATGGGCTGTGCCACCACACTGGCTCATAGGAGTTGTCATAGATTCTGCGGGACAGTAATTCTCCAAGTGTGTTCCCAGACTCACGCAGCAGCATTATCTAGGAACCTGTGGAAACTCCAGATGCTCAGACCCAGCCTGGGCCTCCTGAGTCGGGAACTCTGGGGGCACAGCTTGCCGATCTGCTTTTGAGCAAGCTCTCTGGTGACACTGTTACACACTTTTCTGGGAAATGAGTCTCACGTCAGCAGGAGGGCTCTGCACCCCCAGGAGCAGTGTTCGTGTCTGATGCTGACCTCCCGGCTTTCCCAGGCCACCTCAGACACCACAGCAGGACACGTCCTTGGAGGGAGATGTCCCCGCCTGTGTGTCAGTAGTTCCTCACAGGGTGACAAGATGATGTGGGGATGGCAGAAGGGCATGTGTGTTAAGTGAAGGGGCCTAGAGGGACAGGAAATGAGAGAAACACGGTGTGGGGATGTTGAGAGTAGTGCCTGATGGTTTTTCTGGGCACTGCTGCCACCTGATTATTGTGGTGATCCTTCTAGACGGTTGAGATTTCCATGGAAAATTACTGTGCTGTCAGTCCTTCCATCCGAGGAAAACTTGTGGGAGGCGATGTGGTGTCACCTCTGTCCAACCCCCCACCGCTCAGCAGTGCAGAAACTTCCCTGCATAGAGACCAGAAGAATGCAGTGGTGCCAACCACCCCTGTCACCTTTACCACTGTCACCTCAGCCAATCTAGTGTCATTGTATCCACATCTACCACTGCACTGCTACCCTGGTCTTCCCTAAGGAAATTCCATTTATCATTTTATTTTATCTAGACACATTTAGATAAGTACCTCTAAAAAAATGAAGATTCCTTTTAAAAACATCCATGATCAGATCTCAGAATAATCATCCTTAGTTGTCGCTGGGGAAATGCTCCCTGCCTGCTGCTAGAACCCAAAGCCTAGGCCTCTGGGATATTTATTAGGGTCAGAAGGAACCTGAGCAATAATCGTCGCGGATAATGACTTAACCAGAATCACAAAATCAGAGAGTGGGAAGGGCGAGCAGGAGTCAGATCCAGGTCTCCCCAACGGTCAGACCCACGGTCAGGCCCACGTTTCTGCCTGGGTCCCTTCACTGTGCCAAATTGCCTTGCTGCAACCGTTTTGAAGCGCACGGTTCCGCAGCGTCGGTACCGTCACCTACGGTGCCCGCCACCCAGACCCGTGAGCAGCTTGCACACCTGAAGCTTTGTTGGGGTAACAAGCGCTGGCCCCCACCCACCTCCGCCCCGGGTGGTCTCCGGGTCTGCGTTAGTCCCTCCCGTACCTGGAATCGCACAGCGGCTCTGCTTCATTTTTGCCCCCGTCACTCAGCACGAGGCCCTGGCGCTGTGTCCATGCCCTGGCCTGTGGCGGACTGGCCCTTCTCGGGCTGAGCGGTCGTCCATGTGCACGCGGCGGTTCACTTTTACGCTCACTTAGGAGACACCCGTCGCTTCCGCCTTTGGCTCTCGTGAAGATGCTGGCCGGACCCTGGGAGCGCCCGTCCCTCTGCAGTTCCTGCTCTAATCTCCAAAGCTGGGTTGCCGGGTCCTTCCTGACTCCCTGGGGATGGTGAGGAGCTGCCTCCTGCGCTCTCTGCTGTGAGGCGCACGGTGCACAGGCTCCAGGCACTCATCTTGGCCCTCCCTGGGTGCAGCCCAGGCCCAGGTGATGGTGAGCACCTTCCCTGTGCGTCCTTAGCATGGCCTTGGAGAGGGTGCCTGCCCTAGAAGACACAGCCCGGGAGCCTCTGCCTGCCTGTCCTGTTCAGAGCTAACTAGACGTGCTGCTACCTTTCTTTCTCCTTGTTCCACCCACCTTACAGCAGATCGCTTGAATCTTGGCATTTCTCAAGTTAATACTTAAGAAGGGAGCTGTTTTGTGCCTGGTGAAATACTGGGAAAAAAATATGTTCTAATTTTAAATGTATAAATCGCTTTGTTGCAAAGGTTTTCTGCTTTTCAGTTCATTCCTTAGAGGTATCAAGTCACTTTTTTGGGCCGGGGGTGGAACTGGGGATTGAACTCAGGGGTGCTCAGCCAGTAAGCCACATCCCCAGCCCTATGTTTGTTGTTGTTGTTAAAGTTGTAGATGGATACAGTATCTTTATTTATTTTTATGTGGCGCTAAGGATTGAACCCAGTACCTCACACATGCGAGGCAAGTGCTCTACCACTGAGCTATAGCCCCAGCCCCCCAGCCCTATTTTGTATTTTATTTAGAGACAGAGTTTGGCTGTGTTGCTCGCTATTGCTGAGGTTGGCTTTGAATTCGTCATTCTCCTGCCTCAGCCTCCTGAGCTGCTGGGATTACAGGCATGTGCCACTGTGCCCAGCTAATAAATCACTTTAAGGAAAGAGATGGGGTGGTTTTGTGAACAAGCTCAAGGATTTGGAGTCTGCTAGGTTGGAGTGCAAATGACAGTGATAAGCAGGCATGGTGGTGCACACCCAGCTACTCAGGAGACTGAGCGGGGAGGAGCCAAGTTCAAGGACAGCCT